GTTCGCTTGTTCTGCGGGTTTAGAAAATTGGTTTTCACCAGCAAGTTGTTAAACAGTGAAATTCTGTCGATTAGGATCTTTTGAATACTTATCAGATAGTATTGTTAATTGTTTTTCCAATGCCTTTCCCATAACATAAATTCGGCCGGTGAAAGAAGGCAAGTAGCTAGATTATTGAGATCATGGAGAACCATGACAAAAGCAGCAAAAAAGGCTTCTAAAAATTTTCTAAAAATGTGTGCTGATCTGCCGTGTTTTTTTCCAATTTTGGCCAATTCTGTTACTTGTTTCATGTCAATCGATTGCCATTCTGCTCTGTCTGAGGATCCTCCTCTGCGGCCTCGTTTATAAATCACAGGAAAGACAGAGATTCTTTGGGCTAATTGCCAGTTTCCATTTTGGGTTGCCTCCAATTTTGCTGTGCCCCAAATATCTGGTTCTTCTGAATCAGAGGCAGTGGAGTCACTGTCGCTGTATTCAGAGGAAGAGTGGCGTCTTCTTGGGGCACGACGCTTTTTAGAACGCGAAGAGGAAGGTTGGGGGGGGGCTTGGGGGGGGGAAGGGTCTGACCGTGTAGAAGGGTGTGTGTGGGTGCACTGCATGGCTTGGTCACAGGGTGGCACAGGCGCAGGTGTGCCAGGCGCGCACCTTTGCTGCAGTGGGGGGGCTGCGCAAGGGGTGCAGTTGAAATCGGAGACGTGCTGGGGGATGTGTGGGTGTGGGGCTGCGGCGCAGTCGGGGTTAGGAAGGCACAGGAGGGGCTTCGGGGGATGGGAATGCAATGGGACCGCGCTGTCGGGGGGAAGACGGGTTTTGGGGAAAGCGGGGATGTTTGTTGAATGCATGACTGGATCCATGGACGGAACTGGGACAGGAGAAGGAGGAGAGGGACCTTCGGGGACCGAGGAAGCATAAAGGGAACGGTGGTAAAACATTTCTGGGGACAGGAACCGGGACAGGGGAGACCTCGGGGGCTGGGGGCTGGAGGAAACATCCTGGGGTAGCATTAGGGGACGAACCGTGGTGGGCAGACGCAGAGTTGTGTGGGGAGGTGTTGCGATTTGTTTGTGTAACTTGTGGAGTACCAGAGTTAAGGGAGGCAGACTGTGCATGGCATGGGGATGGGATAGAGAGGGGTGAAGGGCGGTTGCCAAAGGAATGGGGTCTGGGGCGGGGAAAATCGAGGTGGGAGCGGCGTTTGGAGCTGTGTGAGCTGAGTGAGGCTGGGCTACAGAGGTGGGCAGGTGAGTGACAGCTTGGGGGTGTGGAAAACTCACTGTGTGAAGGGCGGGGTTTGGAAACCGTGTAGCAAAGGAAGTTTCTATAGTTACCTTATCAGTTGTTGGGGGGAGGACTGGTGCTGAGGAGAGAAAAATCGCAGGGGGCCCGCGCAGAGGTGGGATGCCGAATGGGGGAGGGGACGGAGGGGGCAAATGAGGCGTGGGTGGACAATTTCGAAGCACGGAAGGGGGAGGGAGAGGATTTTCAAGGCTAGGGGAGTTGGCGCTTGCGTGAAGAAAGCGGTGTGTCATTTGTGAGGGTGCCGGTGTGGCGGGGATGGGCAGAGGGGCTGTGTCTGGGTTTCCGGGAGCTGTGGGGGACGCGTTGTGCGGGGCAGGGAGGCAGCTGCGGGGAGGTGTTTGTGTGAGCTGGACGGTGCCTGTGCTGCATTGCAACTGTGTTATGGGGATGGAAACGGGGGGGTCTGCGGGTTGAGGAGGGTGGGGGGGATTCGGGAATGGATGTGGTGTTTGGGAAGGCGGATATTGGTTTAGGGGCGGAGCGGGAAGAAAAGTTGGAGAGGTGGACGCGTGTGTGACGTTGTGTGTGGATAGGAATGTTGGTTCCCATGGAGACAGGACTTTTAGGGGTAGGGAGTGGGGGGGGCAGCGATAGGATCAGCAATGGGGACTGGGCTCTGGGTTGTGGCTGGGGGCGCCGCTGTAAGGGAAGGGGGGGCGAAACGGGGGGCGCAGGGGCTGAGGCAGTGGAAACAGGGGTTTGGAGGATCGGGGGGGTGCGTGGGGGATTAGGGTATTGTGAGAGGAGATAAGGGGGGAAGAAAGTGGGGAAAGGGTAGGGACAGTATTTTTTTGGAGTTTTCGTCTTGCTCTTATGATATGTTGAGAAAGAGGAATGAAAGAAGTCACAGAAAAATCAGCATTTGCTTGGCATTCATAGATTTTTGTGCCAACAGTGTCCCAGAAATAATCCAAAAGTATAGTTTGGTTATTAAAGTTGGAAAAGTGAGTAGAAATCCATTTTATAAATCTTTTCAGGACAGTTTTAGAACAAGAGCGTTTTGAAAAAGAGAAATTGTCAGCGGATAAAGTTTGTTTTATTATATTATAAAGATCTCTTTTGCTATGGGAAAGAATAATTTTAGAAAAAGGATTTCCCATAGCGACCCTGAGCCGAACAAGTAGAAAAAGAGAAAACTAAAGAAAAAAAACCCCAAAACAAGACCCTAGGGGAAGGAAAGCTGATTATACTTACGAAGCTTATCTTTGACGGGTCGTTAAAGGCTGCTCCTCAGGTGCTGGTCAACTTCAGTCCTGAGTGGGGAGGGGTCTCAGGGTTGTTGAAGTGAATTGGGTGCAGTTAAATCTTTTAGAACAGAGACTTAACTGTCTAATTTTTGTGACACTCGAAGATGGATACAATCAATTTTTGATGCAGTTCGCAGAGTGTGGGCAGAGTCCACCTCCGTCTGGGCGCCACTTGTCACTGGCTGGGTTTTGGGGGTTCCTTTGGAATCCCTGAGACTGCTTTCGCAGCCCTCAAGGACAGAGCACGTTCCCGAGCCTTGCCCAGATAGAATTGTGGCTTGCAGTGAGCTCTCAGACCAGCGGGGAAGAGAGACCAGCATATGCAGAGAGGCACAAATCCAT